TAGGAAATGAAAACAACCTAAATATCCTTCAATTAATAGATAGTGAATAGATTATGAAAATGTGGTATATGTATACAGTGGAATACCATTTAGCTCTAAAGAAAATTGAAACCATGCAGGAAAGAAGTGGAACTAGAAAATATTAGATTGAGTGAGATAATTCAGACCCACAAAGAAATACACCATGTTATTTCACACTTTTGGTTCCCAGCCCCCAATCTCCATATGTGTGAATACAACAGAGAGATCACAGAAAGGAGGAAACTAAAATGGGGCTATGACAAGGGGATCCCCTAAGAGGGAAATAGCAGGACACAGGTAATATGAAGGAGAAATGGGGAAAACGGGAGGGACTTTTAAGTGGAGAAGGAAGAAGGAGGAAAATACAGAAGGAAAGGAAGAGGGAATGATGAATGACACTATGGATGGTTGAATGACACAGGGATTCAATATTTTATATCATCTAAAGGGAGCTGGGGTGGGAACAAGGGAGGGATGAGCAAGAGAAAACAATTAATATATTTGTATTTTAACTAAAAAATTTAAAAGGACCATTCAAAGCAGTGTATACAAGGAGGTATATAAATGTGGATAAATTATCTTAGCTCTGTCATCAGACCAAACTGAGTTTGAATGCAAGCACTCACACTTAGTAATAAAGCTTAAACACACTGCCAAATAAAATAAATAATAAACTGCCTAGGAAAAACTGAAGGAGAAAGGAAAACACCAACTTGAACCTTATTTATGATTACCAAACTTCCTTAGGGACTATGGGAATAGTCCTTATACATAAGTATAAGGAGACAGTAACAATCAGTCTCTACCTTGAGACAGCAGAGCTGCTCAAATGAACTAGTGACTTCTGCTTTGTGACCCTGCTTGTCCATTCCCTGCTGACCAGGGTCACATCTGCTCTTCGCCCTTGAGAAGTGACCACCATGAATACCCACTTAGACAGCAAGTTTGTGCCTCTTCAACAGTGCTTGTGAACCAAGGAATGAAGTTTTCTGTTTATCTCTGACAGTTTCTGTTTATTGCTGACAGTTTCTCCTAAGGAAATTTTGACACCCCCACCTTAACAAAACAACATGAAGAAACAGCATGCTGTGTACATTGTTTAAATATTTGGTGAATACATAAGAATTTCATAATACAATGTTTGTTCATTTTGTAGTGCTTGAGATTGAACTCTGTGTTAGGTTAATCTACCACTGGGCAACATCTCCAGCCTCTCATGACAATGTTTTTTTTTGTTTGCTTTTGATTTAAAAGATTGGGTTCCTCTGTGTAGCCTGGCTGTCCTGGAACTTGATTTGTAGACCAGGTTGGGCTCAAACTCACAATGATCCACCTGCATGCTGTGATTAAAGGTGTGCAGCAACACAGCCTAGCTGATTTTTTTTTTAAAGATGCAGGTGTTCCTATACCAGGAGTGGAATCTAGGCCCTTTGATTGAAAACCAGGAATCCTTACTGCTAGACTATGTGGGATCATAAAAAAATTTTTCAATGAATACTTACATATTATTTTTTTATGTTTGAAATTATAATGTAATTGTAACATTTCTCTCTTCCTTCCAAACACTTCCATATACACCTTCCTTCTCTATTTCATATTTGTGCCTTGTTGTTTGAATACATGTATACATATTTATATACATATATATTCATATGTATAACATGTTTGGTGTGTATAATCCTCACATTTTCAAAAAGAATACTCACATGTCGATTTGTGAAGACAGAATAAAATTCTTTTACTAGCACATTCTTGATCATATCTGGTTCTGTGATAACCAGCACAGGGAGCAGCCCATTATATAGCCTGTATTGGAAAAACAGAGAAGAGTACAATTTGATCCTGATGTTACCTCTGGTTCTACAATACTTGCTTCTGTGAACTGAAACTTTGCCTTCTGTAAGAACAGCAAGTGCTTATTCACTGATACACTACTGTCTCTAAGGTCAAATTTTAACAACTGACTAGCAGTGATGTTTCAAGGAACTTTTCTTTAGAGCCATTAGAAATGCAGCATAGCATGCCCATGGCAATGGGTCAATGGCCATGGCAGCTCAGCAGACCCTGTGATTAGTACTATGGTTTCTGATGATGGATGAGAAGAGATGAAGAAGCAGAAACTCTTCCCACTTGTTTGTGGCACACAGCATAGTGATGTCACTTCTTCCCAAGCTCTAGACAAATCCCTATTTGCTGTAATCATCACAGAAAATAATTTTTGAAAAAAGCCTAGAAGTCAACAGCGTGGTGTAACATATCTAACACCTTTTCTTCAAAGTTAGTAGTATGTGTTGAGAGGAAATGTCCATATACATTTTTATTAAATAGTCAATCCCTTGTATAAAATCTAACAAAAATAAAAAGTAAAAGAAAATTCAAAAAAGTGTGGAATTGCAGAACTCTAAAACCAGTAGTCAGGAGGCAGATATGGAAGACAGTGACCTCTAGTTCAATGTGGACTCACAGCAACTTCCAGGCAATGTTGGATATATTGAGACCTGGTCTCAAAAAATAAATAATGGGGCAAGGCCTAGATGCCTCAAACCTATAGAAAGAAGTACAGGCAGGTAAGGATTACTGAGAATGAGAGAAATGGTCTTCCCCAGGGAAGAGCACACAAACTGGTCACCCGATTCCACATGGTCAGCCCTGACAACATATGCACAAAAACTATGCAGACTGAATAGGTCATAGTTATGAATAAAAATGCACTAACATATACTTACAGTCATGTAACAACAATTAATGAAAACCAGGGGATGTATTTGAAAGAGGAAATGGAAAGGGGAAAGGATGCAATTTTATTATAACCTCAAACAAAAAAAGGAAGTAATAAAAATAAAAAACATAATTTATACATGCATTAAATTAAACAAAAATAATAACTCTAAATATCCCCATTTTCCCCTTAGCCTATCTTTGAGAAGTCCATACTTACAAGAAATATTTTTGATAAAATTATTTTTGCTTTTATCTAAGTATAAATCTCTATGGGCAGAAGACACTCTTCTGAATTTGTGAGTACATATTATATGCATCTGAATTAACGCAACCTTACAATTTTTAAAAGTCTCAAGGAAGAATAGATAGAGGCAGGAACCCTTATAAGACATTGGGTTAAAGTAAGGCTAGGTGTCTCTGGAACATCAAAGGATGCAGACAAATTATATCTGCAAAGTCCTCATCTTAATTCAGACTGTGGGCAAGAACATACTTATGGAACCCTTGGCAGGACAGGCTTTCAGACACTTTAAAACAGGCAAATGTGATCCAATTAACTCTGGACTGAAAAAGTTCTTCAATGCAGTTTGCTGTCACATCATAAGAAATCTACATATCACACATTTGCAGAATACTCACCCCCACAGATCTCCATACTTTTCATGGCATTCTATATCATATTTCACTATTCCCTGAGAAAAGAAAAGAAAATGAAAAGTAATTATTTTTCTACCTCTATTGCCCACCAAACTGGAAACAAATGACTCAAATCCCAGGACATCAGGCTCATTATTTAATTTTCTGACCAAGCAATTAATGGAAATCCTTCCAAGTTCTCTGAGAGAAAAAAGAAAATACAGGAGACACTTGACATGGGGAATATAGATATACATGATTTCATTTCTGTATATTGTACATTCCAAAAACGTTCCTTCTCTATTAAAAGTAGCAACTGTCTTTATCTGTGGTAGGTCTCTGGATTTGTTTTGACTCTGAAATCTTGGAACATTGTCTTTCCCCTCCTTAGATACCTGAAGGCAACAATAATTAGCAATATAGCCATGAATTTACAAAATCTATTTGCTTCTCACTGTTTACTGCCCCTTTCACTCACTTGATGACTTCTCTAGGATTTCAGTATAGTCAGGAAATTGAAGACAACATTGATGTACATACCATATTAGATTTATGTAATTGCCTTTTATAATATTAAGTGAAAAGAAACAAGGAAGTAGAGGCAAATGATTTTGCCTTCTAGTGTCCCTGTTCACAGGGAAAGATGAGGATATGCTGCCTCACATAAAGAAAACATAAAGATGAATGCTTCGTTTGAATTTTTACCTCTGAACTCTGGAAAAATCCATATAAACATTAAGTGGCAATTGTAATTTTGGAGTATAGGATCCTAAGTAACTCAGCCTGGATTCAAACTCTCTGTGTATCTAAGACTGACTTTGAAATTCTGATCCTCCTGAGTGCAGGGATTACAGGTGTGTGCCCCCATGTCCAGTTCATATGGTGCTGGGATCAAGTCTGTTTTTTTTTTTTCAATTTTAAGCAAGGATTCTACAGAAGGGAATTCCATATTCAGCCACTGTGAATGTCAATTATATGAAACTATGTCTCCAGGCAGGTGACAGAGCCCAATATGTAGAGTTTTTTGCCTAGTATTTAAAGTAGAATGAACCAAAGCACTTTCTGAGACCCTAATGAAATTACAAAGGGAAAACTACTTATTTTTCCTTGTCCAGGAACTGAATTGGAAAAGTCTAATCTAGGGCTTGAGCCAGTGCCTGAAAAGAGGGAAGGTTGTAGTTTCTTGGGGATTTGACTTTTTCCTGGGCTGTGGTTCAATCCTGATACATCTGTGTCAGAAGTATCCTGTTTTCTTTTTGCCAGCATTGTATGATTTAGCTATATGCTGACCTTGGCCATTTCTCTTTACAATTAGCATGTGAAAAGCTGTGCTGCTTAATAAAATTCTGATATAATTCATCATATTATGCAAGACCTCCTGGTCACAGCAACATGTCTTCTTTAGTCTCATACATATTCCTCTGAAACACCTCACTACCTTCCCCTTTGGGATTCTCATTCCTTCTAGTTCATGTAATTTGGTACTCAATGCAGGGCTCAAGATTACTAGAAATCATCAAGAATGAGTATTAATGTGCTAAATGTACAAAAAGTGTCAGACATGGGTACCTGTAAGAAAGAAAGTATGGAGGAATAGCTGAGAGTAAAACATGGGAGAAAAGATTCTAAAGAACAATCTATTTTCATTCATATGCTTCATCTACTTATACTTTGATATGTATCACTATGGGACTTAAGTAAATTCTTTACTTTTATTTAAAAAAATGCCCTTAGTTTCCTGAATAAGGTTCTGTGAATTTAAAAGTATGGAAACATGTAGGTGGAAGAGTATAAAATATATAAAATATAACCTATGAGGGCCACATGAGTTTCCTACCTTGGGTTTGTGCTGTGGAATTTTATACATCACTGTGTATACTCACAGATCGTATATGATTCATTTGCAATTCAGCACACCTGTAGATCTAGCCAATATACTCAAATCAAACTGGGGGACATAAGATGAAAATAAGATCTCAAAAAATCAGGCCTTGAGGATGAGGAGGTAGCTTAAGTTCATGAATAATTTTTGCTTCATGATACCTCAGAAGATGAGGAGAAACTTCTTTTTTGCTGGTGAAGTTATAAAATCACCTGAATTGGCTTCTACTTGTCTAACTGAGTCAAAAGCCCCATCCTCCTCAGGATCCTCCTCATTTAGCTTTAGCCTTTCTTCCTCTAGTTTTCAGAAACTCATGTATAAGGTCAACAGACGCTGTCCTACATGGTATGGCTAATAGCCCCAACTTATGTCAAAAATTTATTGCTCAAACCTTAGTCCCAGTTAGAAAAAAGTACGCTTCTCTCATGATTATTTATGACCTAGTTGATTTATTACCTAAGTGATTTCAGCACCTATGGAAAATTTAATTACTCAGTTATTTATCACATTCCAGCATCACTTACAACAGACTCAGCTGAAAATTTCCTCAGAAAAATCACAGGTTACAGTTCCCTTTTCTTATTTAGGTTATATTACAAAAGACTGTATGTACCATTTTCCCACAACGATCTGGATGTAACTGCTAACATTTATTGATTTTCAAAAGATGCTAGGAGATATTAATTGGCTGAGACCTTCCCTGAAACATACTACAAATGATTTGACTCTCTATTTCTCCATAATTAGAGGAGATAATGACCCCTCTCCTAGAAAGCTTATTCCTGAGGGTCAAACACCTTACAATTAACACATCTAATCATCACTCATGCACAGCTGACCAGTCTTGGCACAAATATTCTTCTTTGTCCTATGCTGTTAAGTACTCCTACATATCCCTCTGGAACACTCTTGCAAACTAGGGGACCTATAGATTGGATTTTTCTGCCCACTGATGCTGGCTGCATCTTGACTTCTTATTATAAAATCCTTGCTCAGATTATCCAGAAAATAGATGTCCTCAAGCCCATCAATGTATTGCATGATAAAGTGACATGATAGTTCACCCCTTCACCTCTTAACAACATGATTCACTTTGTGCCTTCACTGAATCTTGAGAGGTAGCTCTATTTGACCTTATTGGCCAGCTTTGTACTTCATATCCTGAAGATCCTTTAATTCAAATTTTCCAACACTACTCTCTAGTTATCTCAACACTTTGTATGAGGTACACAATCCTAGAAATATATATGTCTTCTTTGGTGAGAGTCCATCTGGGGTTCCTAACATTGTACCTCAAAAAGTAACTCCTCATATGTTGAATGTTTCAACTATGTCTTCCCAGAATGTAGATTTCCTTTGCATTGCCTCAACCTCTAAACACTTGCTCTGACAGTTTATATTTCATGTAGGTTGCTCAAGTACTTCCTTTTGCTCTTATTAAACAGACTGAGGATGAAGAAATGTTTCACTTTTTTCAGCATGCCAAATAACTGTCAGAACCAGGAGGCTTCTTAATTCCTCCAATACTTTCAAGCACAGTACCATCTTCCTGGTCATTTGGAAAAAGGGAATCAAGCTTTTGATCTAGCTGCTGCTTATTTTATTCAGATGGTTGCTGAGACTGCTTGGCTTAAGCTAGCTATTGACTCATGTGATTTCCCTTCAGCACTGTGCTATGCCTACTACCAGTTACAGTTATCTAGGGTTCAAGTATGACAAATTGTAACCTTTCTGCTTATGTAACCTATCTGCCTTCCTCTTGTTTTGGTGTAAATTTCCAAGGTTTACTATCTTATGTCAGATGGATGTTACAGGCATTTCAATTTTTTGGCAGCCTCATATATATTCATGTTAGTGTGACATTTATTCTGGGTTCCTCCTCATGCCTATCCTATTAACTGGAAAAGTTGGTAAGCATTGGATTACTCATTGCTGGTAATCAATATTTTTTTATAACTTACACCTTCAAAGTGTTTAAAATTTAATGCTTCAGCATACACTTCTGATGCCTTTAAGGGACTTTGTGCTACAATATGTATGATGCATAAAACTGTCCTCTCTATTATTCTTCAAAGATGAGAAATTGCACATGGTTCTATTAAAGTTTTGATTGAAAAAAGTAAAAAGTGGGAGTATTTATACCTTCTTACTTCTACAAATCTTCTTAATTGTACTTTAATTCAAATCTTTTTGAGAACAGAACAAAAAAGGACTAACTAGAGCAGGGTATTAATGAGTAGACATGCTTGAGAAGGAGACCTCTTGTGCAAAGTTCCTGCTATGTGGGAATGGTGTGATCCTGACCTTGTGCTCAGGTACAGGAGAGGATCTTTGTATTTTCAAACAGGAAGCTGATAGATCTTATTGGGTCACAAAGTGCCTTGTCCTACATTCCCAAGCAATGAAAGCATCTGCTGTGGTACAGGTGACAGAAGCTAAGGATGCAGAGGATGATGAGTTTGAAAGCAGCATCCAGACCAGTTCACCCCTTGCAGTCTGCCTGGTATCACAGAGCCCACTTATAAGTTGGGGACAGATTAAACATCTCACTGCAGAAGGAATTTGAGTGGTCAAGGAGACATGAAAGTCTGCTATTCATATTTAATTTATTTTAGCAATTCTGGCATTACGCCCTGCCACATGTGTAGAAAGTGCAGAAGTCTACTGGGTCTGTGTAGCTTTCACACCCTTTGGCCCATCCAGTCACATGGGAAGACTTGCCTACTAGAGAATTTACTAATGGTGTGCTAGTTATTTTACAATGCTGATGTTTAACCTGTGATGCCTGGCAGTACTCACTTTAGTTATATTTTTATATCATAAATTATTCCTATTTGTTTGTCATTGATGGGACAGTATGACCATGTTCTTCTCATGTCAGTGAATGGAAAGGCCTATATCTCAAAGGTCCCTGTAAGATCAAAAATCAAGCATCATCAAATTATTCATCATTCTGATCACCCATAGGTTACCCCATTGAATGGACATTTCCAAGAATGCAGTGATTTTCCTATGCCCTGCTTCAGAATGGAATTCCACTTGAGTGGCTTGTTCCATGATTCTAAAGAACCTCTTGCCTTGCCTCTGAATGGATGATCTGAGGTGCTGGTTGACTTGTCTTAGTGGTGCTAACTTCGTCTGGATGAAGATAACTTCCTAGAATCTTCTCATTGGCCACTTCTTGATTATACTATCTTCAGAGGAACAGGACATTAGGCTGTGAGCCACTGTTCTATAAAGAGGAAGTGCTGTGGATGATTGATTGATAAATAAAACACTGTTTGGCCAGTAGCAAGGCAGCAAGTATAGGTGGGACAAAGAGAGAGAATTCTGGGAAGAGGAAGGTTGGGTTAGGAGATTGTTGTCCAGGGAACAGCTTGTAAAGGCAACAGGTAAAGCCACCAAACATGTGGCAACTTATAGATTAACAGAAATGGGTTAAATTCAGATGTAAGATTTAGATAGCAAGAAGCCTGCACCATTAGGCCAAACAATTTAAATAATGTAAGCATCTGTGTGTATATTTGGGTCTGAGTTGCTACGGGAGCTGGGTGGACACAAAAATACTCAATCTACAAATTCCTGTTTATACTGTCTTCAGAGGAAAAGGACTTTAGGCTGTGAGCCACTGTCCTAGATAATGGGGTGACCTGTGGGATTTTTAGAGAAAATGACTAACCATGGTATGCATATCATTTTATTTATTTTGGACCTCACTGCTTGTCTTAACTCTCCATACACATAACTGACTGAGAGACCCTCTGTTAAAGAAAGACGGATCACTTCAAAATTACATGTGATACTTCCATCCTTACTAAGTGTGTAGATGCCTTTGCTCATGGGAGCCTTCTTTTACTTTAACTGTCTTCCTTTGCTGTGGTTCGTAATGATGCTTTAAGTATGGTGACTTTGCACAATGTGTTCTTATTGAACTACATCAGGCTTGTGCTAAAAACATATTTCTAGATTTTATTTTAGCTATAATTAATTGCGGTACTTACAGCTATCAAGTCAGAAGCTGTTTCCACATTGGCCCTCGCCCAACTAGTGTAAACTGCCCATTTTGTTAATCAGATTCCTTATAATATTTCCGGAGCTTTGGTGAATATACATAAAAATAAATGCAACAACTAGAAGCTAAATTAATTGCTTTAAAAGTTTGGGTATTGAGCCTAAGAGATACAGTACAAACAATGCAATGTTAATCACTTTTACAGTATCAAGCTGGCTTTAGATACATCCTTGATGCTCCTTTCAATTATGATGAACATGAATGGAAATGGAAGAGAATTAAAAATCATTTTCATGGAATATGGCCCCATGAGAATGTTATTTTAGACTTCCTAACTACGAAGCAAATAGTTACTAACATGTGCCTTGCTCATCACACATTCAATTCCTGTTTGGAGTCAGCCAAAGATTTATTATACAAACTGCCAGATGTAATCTCCTTAACATTGGTAAAAATTTGTTCACTATTATCCTCAGATTATTTAGTGTTGGTAATTCATCTAACAATATTAGGAAGCATTTGCTGGTTTAAGGGTTATTTGGGGCTCTTAAACATTTCGATACGAATAACTCATCGGGCCATCAAAAGTAAAAAGTGAAGAGAAGGTACTCTTTGTTGCAGGCTAATCCAAAGTTCTCTCAGACACCTTTGCCAAAGAACAAAAGGTATGACAGTTCTGTGGCCCTCCAGAAACAGATTTGCAAAGCTCCTCTCTCAGTCTGGAGCCAGGGCCTCTAAGAGTTTTGGTTGCAGTTTCTGGCAATCCTACTGTTTTTCCCTGGGTTCTGGTTATCAGTCATAAGGCAGCAGTGTCTGAGGCATCCTGGATTCTCTTTGCCGAAATTTTCTCACTTAACTCTCAGCTCATCTTGGCCATTTCCCCCTGCAAATAATATGTAAGAAGCTATGTTGATTAATAAACTTTCTTGGCATAAGTCATGAACTTATGTAAGGCATCTATGTCCCATGTATCTGTCTTTTTTATTTCTCTCCCTTGGTCCTCCTTCTCAAAACCACACCTTTTGGGGCTCTTATTCCTACAAGTTTGGGTCAGCATAGTACATCCTCAACCATCGCATTGGGACCCAGTCACCTACATATAAGATATCATGCTATGCACAAGCACTGAGTAAGAGGATGAAGTAATCTGTGGTCATCATCTGAACATCATGTTCAAGACCAGTCTTGTCTACAGGAGACACTACTTGAAACAAAAACAAAGCCCAAGAAGTTTGTTTCAAAGAATACCTAAAAAAGAGTTCATCCAAAAATCATAAAGAAGGTATTACTTTTTCAAATGGGGGCAGAAAGCTTGGAAATCTTAGGAACTTAAGCAACAGAGTCCTTGATTTTGAAAAATTATGATCTAATAAGCAAACCTTGAGCATTCAGAAAAGCAAATCTGCCAAGAGTGCAGTCTGCACCTAGGCACTGGCCCTGGACATAAGCTCAGGAAGGACAGGCCAGGAGTCCATCCTTTAGAAAACATCCAGAAAAGCTCTGTGTAAAATCATAGTCCCTAGTATATAGGTACATGTATATGTATATATGTATTCATTTTACATATTATATATCATACACTACATGTATATTTTTGGCAGGTTTGTCAAATCATGATTTTATTAGTGATTTTGTATAAATGTTTCTACTTCTGTTTCAAGAAACAAATCTCACAATCTGGTTAAGTATCTGAGGTTCAATGGCAATATTATCTCATCTCCCACATTCCTGCTGTTTATGGTCATGAATAGGGTTCTACCTTGAAGTGTAATGGAGTAAAGGCAAATCTTATAGGTGGTAAAAGCTTGGCTGGAGCCTTGGAAGTAATAATGGGATTAAACAGTACAGCTGAGGATACAAGTATGTGCATAGTCCCCCAAAATAACTATGTGACTCCTGATAGGCATGTTCCAGTGATACTCAGCCAGAAGTATAAATATTATTACTAAACTCAGATGTGAATAAATCACATAGGTTGTTCAGATGATACTCAGTGGCCTTACATGTATTTCTTTAAATACTATTAAGAATAACTGTATTTTTCTTGAATCTAAACTGAAAAAGAAACAAAATCTTTGATGCTTCCAAAGTCTACACATTAGCATTTCAGGCTCAGGTTTAGTGTGCCAACAGCCAGGGGTCCTCACCAGACCTGACAGAAACCTGAGGTCACAAACACATGTCAGTAATACCCAAAGGTAACCTGGCAATAATTTCAGTGTAGCACAAACAATTCTGCCAAATGAAAGTATTGCCAATAATCCCACTGGCCATTTGCATAGATGAACTGACAAGGTTTAAAGATAGTTGTGTAAGTGACACAATCACAGAAGCAAAGTAGAAAAGCCAACAGCACTCACCCTCCTATAGTTAAGCATTGTCCCAACAAAAGGCAGAGGTTTGGGTCCAGGAATCCCTAGCTTCTTAAAAAGTCCATGAGAAGAGGTCCCATAACTAAAACATGAAGGATAAAGTCAGGTCACAGGCTTGCTCATCATACACATAGTTATTCATTTTCATACACATACATAAATCTCATATTCCCACATGTACATATATAAATACACATAATGATATATATATATATATACACTAATTCATATATATTATTGACTTAATATATAATGTGAGTAGATATGCATGTATATGTGAATATATTTAAATATATATATTCTTGGATGCTATGAGAATATATATATGCTATGTTATCCATTGAGGTTAACAGGTAGGCATAACATAAAAATTCAGAGCAATAATCCACTTCACATACTTACTTATAAACTTTTAGGTAAATACTTGATGGTTCCAGTCTTAGAGTTAATATATAATAAAACTTTATAAACTTGAGTATGAATGTTGCTGAAAGACTCACCAGACTTAAAACATATATCATCAGTGTGGGTAACCTGCCATGCAAGGTCTACATGATGCTGCCTCAACTTTATTTAAGCGGTGAACAATGAGGTTGCTCAGAAGGGGAGGATAGCCCACCAGCAGAACTTCCTGACAAGACTCTCTGAGCTTGCCTGTCCCTCAGACTGAAAACTGTGAAGAGCTTTCCAGGTGCAGCTTTTGGGCTGGGGAGATGGTTCAGCATTTAAGACCATTTGCTGCTCTTGCAGATGATCTAAGTTGGGTTCCTATTCTCCAAATGACAGCTAACAACAGTTTATGATTCCAGTACCTGAGAATCCAATGCCTTGCTTTAACCTACATGAATATAAGGCATGTACATGATACACATACATATACTCATGCAAATCTTTTATAGGGGCAATATAAAAATAAATAAATATTTTTAAGATAGTGATGTTGTAAGTCATCAGTTCAGGTGTCTGGTTTTGATGCTGCAGTCGCCTTTGAGTCATTCATGCTCATGGAAGTAACCTTTCAAACACATTCCTGTGATAATCTCATAAACTCATGTCTCTCCAGGTGGACTTTGTAGGTTGGCTATATTGATCTGTCAGTTGTGTCCTACTGAGGACAAGGATATTTGCTCCCATCTTTCCCAGAAAAGTTGAATAGCACCAGGTAGTACCCAAATGAACTCATGAGGGAATGAACTACATCTTTTCTCTATCCTGGTTCTTCCTACACCCTAGACTGCAAAATGGCAGCTTTCTATACTAAAATGATCAGGCACAAGGTAGTTAGTT